ATACTCCTTTCTTCTAGTCTCTTAGTCTGCCACCTGCGAAATTAGTGCTATAGCGTGGACCCGTATAACCCCAACATCCCAGAAGCATAGGTAATCTGGTGAATTAGTCCAGGCCCTCATCGGTTTCCTGTAGGATCCCAGACCTATTACAGATTTCAGTCCGGGTTTTGGTGTATTCGTGTGAACTACGTGGGTAAATCGAGTTTAACAAGAGTCCGAAGGCTTACTGGTGTCCTTGTCCGTACTGTTAGAAGGGTAGGTACCCTAGGGGGCGGCCAGATTGCTACCACAGAAGGAAAAAAGTAAGGCTGCCACCACTTCCTGCCAAAAGGTCGTTGTTCTCTTGCATAAGCACATTCTGTCCAATCGCGGCACTGCTCTCCGAAACATCAGTAACCTCTATTGATAGCATATCCGCGATAATACATTACCGATAGCTTCGTATTTTAAAGACAGGATTGATCCGATTATAAACTAAATTAGTGTGGACAACAAAATTAACCTGTGACAGCAGCAACGTCCGGGCCAAATCGGGAAGTTTGGCGGACACAATACACACGTACAAGTCTATGGTATTCCGTCGAATGCGTCTTTCCGCCAGAATCTTGTCAGAAAAACTTGCTATTCAGACAAATCTGTAAGTTTGCGTGATCAGATAAAACCACAAGCCGTTACCCTATGAACATTCTGCCATCGCCAAAAGCAGAATCTATAGCTGAGTATGTTTCGGATTTTTGGCCAAGTTCAAGTACAGTACTCACCGCAATTAGTGTCACCGACACTTTTTCATTTAAGGTGTTTTTTGCATAAATTTAGTGTGAGTATTGCTATTTTTGAACTGACACTAATTTATGTGTGATAAAATTAGTGTCACTTAGACTAATCATAGTCTTCAACCACACCGGTTATTCAGTCCCCACATCCTCAGCACCACTTTTACCACTTCCACATGCATCACTATCTACCGACACAGCAATCGCAGACTTGCCATCAATCTCGTCAGGGTACTTCTTCATAATTCCCTGAAGATGAGAGAAAAGTTGCTTTGGGTTTCACTATCAAGTGAAAGGCCACATCTAATCATCGCCTTGCTGGCATAGTTGATTCAGATTGTCGAAAGCTGCAGAAAAACTACATGTAACAGATAGATTTTTGTGAAATCCGTTCTTTTTTAATTTAGAACCCAATATCTCTAAACTACGCGATTTGAATGATTTTGCCGCTTCATTTGCGGCCGTGAACATCCTACGAGAGCTTGTTAAAATTTACAGCAGTACAGATTTTAAGCCTACTGAGTATAGATTTATTGAAAAAATCTAGAAAATGTCATTTTTATTACCCGACCAAATGGGATTATAATGCTTCCTGCGATCTGATCATTTCTACTTCCGCCCGGTGTTGGCGTCTCGAATGAAGTTTGAGACTTGTGCTGCAAAAGATTGTTGGACAAGGAGTGTAGCTAACAGAAGTCGTTTTCCTCTATTTTATGTATAAATAGTTTGCTTCCCAATAGTACCAGAGCATGTTGTTGTCCATTGGCGCGCTAGTATCTTGGTGGAGCCTGCAGAATCGTGGGGTTGTACTAACAGATAATGTTGTACTAAGAACATTCAACTTCGCACGTAACTATATTTATAAATCTATTTATAATATCTTTCGTTTTCGTAAAAAGAAATGTATTATTGTATTATTCCCAGCAACGTCGAAGACGATCTAGTTCTTAAATCGAGTGACTGGCCTTTTCTGCATCCTACCAGCAAGATTAAAGTTGAGCCGACTAGCGCGAGGTTGTCAAACAGTTGAATCCAACCTAAGCGATATTTTCGATGCAAATCTCTGCAGCGAACGGAAAAGTGAGCTCATCTAATCGACAGTTCGCTAGGAGGACAGCGATCCAAATTGGATCGCAATTCCAATCGCTCGTCGACAGAGTTACACGCTCTATTTCAGTGGACCTTGACGCAACCAACTCGACAGTTGAAGTCTAGCAAAGGTAAATGGATAGATCGAACACGAGTGGTAAGATGCAGTGTTACGCCACACAGCAGAAGTTCTGGGAATTCGCTCACGCAACGGCGTGTACGTCAGACTCTTTTGTCTCGTGGAGCTTTAAGGCAGTGCAATCAGCCGGGCAACGCTTCACCGAAAACGCTCGTAGGAACATGAGCGGCTCCACCGAGTCCCGGTGCCATCGAAAAGCGACAGGCGCGACGCGGCAAATATTGACTTCGTCAATGCGGCTCGCAGCGTCAATGTGGACTCGGTGCAGTTACACCTCCGTCGTCATTGGAGTGGGTTCCCTCGGGCCTGTCTCCATAGTCTCAGTTAGACGGGCGGCTCATCTGCGGGCTGGCGTCGGCAGCTCTTCGATATTTTTCTTTCTTGGTCCAGCAGAGCGGCGTTTCACTCTCCCTCTTGCAAGATATCGAGCACGCCGAAAAGTGAGGCCCCAGGTTCTCATTCCCTCTTCGGCACCGTCGAGACCGCATACTCGACAATCTTTCCGACACCAAACGGCAGCACGTCGGCTTTTCGATGGGCCTTGCGGACTACATGAGTGAAAACATGAGCAACAATGGCCAACAGAGCTGGCGCCAGTGGGAACCGGACCATGAACCCCCTATGGACGGGAAACCCGACGTCCCGGACGTGAGCTGTGTCGGTAACGTTGAGCCACGCCCGGCACCGGCATCGCAACCGCTGTCGAATGGCGTGCCCAGTAGCGCACTGGCGCCGCTCAACCACCACAACCAGCTCACGCGCTTCATTGCCAAGCAGACGCTCGGCTACATCCCCAAGCTCAGCGTGCGCAGCCCCGAGCGCAGCACGTCGCCGCCCAGTGCCGTTTACGGCGGCATGCCACGTGAAGGCGGTGTCTTCAACTTCGAGAGCCCGCGCGCCAGCGCCGTGCGATCGCCGTCGTTCCGACTTCCGAGCATCGGTACCCCGCCACTGTCACCCCAGAAGTGGGCGAGTCCGTCTCCGTTCGCGAATCAGGAGGACGCTGAGAGCGGCCGCCCGAGTCTGCCGGCACTGAACCAAAGTGCCGGCAGCTTCATCCAGCGGTCCGGTAGCTTCTCCGAGAGCTGTTCGTCCCCCATCCCACCGCTCAAGCGGGCGCACCAAGAGACGACTCGGCACGCCATGTCCATCGCCGATTTGTGTCAGCCCTTCCGCTACGTGCGCTCCTCGTCCTGTCCGTCTGACACGAACCCAGGCGCGTCCGGGTCCAATCCCGCGACACCACCGCAAGAGAGCGAGCCGCAGCCCGCCGTCGAACAGAGCTGGAGACCGGCCATTGAGCAGCAGACCTACATCCGCACCCAGTCGTGCAGTAGCGACGCCGACATGCTACGCGGTAGTCTACCGCACAGCTCGGACGAGTTCCAACACAACCGACTGGAGCGTAGCAGCTCCATGGACGCGCCCACGCTCATGCGCCACCTCAAGCGCACGGCGGCCGAGTCCATCGACCTAACTCAATGGCTCGACCGGCCATGCCGGAACTCGCTCAGTTCGCTTGCCGACTCGGCCGATTCAATGCACCAGCTGGAGCAGGCCGGTCGATCTATGCGTATCTCGGACTCACCACGTGCGGATCTCGCGCCTAACGAGACCAAACGCGAGAAGAAACTCTGTGCCTTTCCGCAGTGCTCCAGCAACGCCGTGACGCGCGGGCTCTGCATCAGTCACGGCGGAGGTCGCAGATGCCAACGCAAGGGCTGTACGCGCGGTGCTCAGAGTAAGGGGCTTTGTGTGGCCCATGGTGGTGGCCGTATCTGTCGCGCCGCTGGTTGCTCCAACATTCAGCGCAGCATGGGCCTGTGCATCCGGCACGGCGGCGGTCGACGCTGCAGCGTCAAAGGCTGCCAGAAGGGCGTCGTGCGGCAGGACCTGTGCACGGCGCACGGCGGCAAGCGCAAGTGTCGCGTGCCGGAATGCACCAAGCACGTCAAGAAGAAAGGCCTGTGCCGGTCGCACGCCAACTCGATGTATGTAACCTCGAGCTTGCAGTAAATAAGTAAGGCACAGGCTGCCAGCACCTACCAGCCCGCCTTGATGACCATGTTTATCCATCCTCCCATCGACATTAAACCAAAAGTGTACATATAGGCGATCGCCAAAAGTGTCTATAGGACAGGTCCCATGCACGTTATCTTTTCGGTGTTGCTTTCCTAGCTAATCTTCCATCGGGGGTCGTAGCCGCTGCGATGTGCAATGCGCGGTTTGCTCGGCCGAGCACCGAAAGACAGCATTAATGGAGCTCCATTCACTTGCAAACGCCACTAGGGAACTTGCCATGGTGACGAGTGTATCGTATCATATCAAGGAATCTCTCGGTGGCTTCAGACTTAAAGGTTGGATGCTTGGAAGTCTTTGGATACGTGTATTCATTCCTCAAGAAACCCATGTCCTCACAAGATCGCGCTGCAAAGAACCTGCACTAATGAGTCAGACGGGGACGCCCGTTGCCACCCATGCAACTTGACCGCTTTCCCGACTCGGGAATCCCGCCACAGACTGTCGCTGGAGGAAACCACGCCGGGAATGGCGTGCTGGCACTGCATGGCAGCCTGCAAGTGGCAGGAATTCTTGTTGCTTCACGATGATGCCGTTGTCGCTAGGATCCGAGTGTTTCTATTAAGGGATTGCTCTGTAATCCTAAGGAATTTGTGGGTGGGAACTTAGCCGGTGGCCTTAATGAATACATGAACTGCATACCGGGCTGCTTAATGAGCGCTATGGTGTATGTCGAATCTCCGTCCGCCTTCGTTCGGTAGATACAAGAGTCAGTCGATCGCCCGCTTACTGCATATGATGAGCTTCTAACTGATGAATCGACATGCACTCCTGGAAAACCAACCGCTGCAGTTCCTCCTTGGGCATCTCAACACCCAAGTCTAGCGACTCACGCTCGAAGTCAAAGTTAAAAGGTTCGGCACACACAGGTTCGTCCGCCTTTAGTCCATAAGAAAATACAAGCGCAAGTCAGTCATAAACACCAGAAAATCAGATATCAATCAGCACGTACAGGGTTCTGAAGCTGCGCCAAGTATGGATGTGCTAATGCCTGGACGACGGAAATGCGCTCACCCGGATTGAACTTGAGCATCTGAGAGAGCAAGTCCACTGCCAGTGGGTTGGCATCCGGAAAGAATTCGATCAACGGGCGCTAATGAATACGTTGAGGTCACATTAGACGAGTAAAACAGTAAAAAAAAAAAAAAAAAAAACTCGAAAAACGACGTACCTTTGGATAAAACCCATGCTGCAAGATGGCTCGCTTCGCAGCTTCGTGAGGCACAAAGGCCATTTCCTCTTCAGTAGGTGATCCTAGCACACGAATGATCATGTGTAGCTGATCGGACGGGTCTCGCCCTGTGAAGAAAGGTCGACGACGTAGCATTTCGGCGAAAATGCATCCGATAGCCCACACGTCCACTGCGTCATTGTAGTTCTGACAGTCTGTGAGCAGCTCCGGTGCTCGATACCAGCGCGTAACGACGTATTCGGTGAGATCTTCGTTGTGCGCCGTCTCCACTCCTCGTGCCAATCCGAAATCACAAATAGACAAGTCGCAATTGGAGTTGACGAGCAGATTTGACGGCTTTAGGTCGCGATGTAGGACGTTTCCTGAGTGCACAAACTTCATACCTCGCAAGATCTGATACAAAAAGTATTGGAAGTGCGCGTCAGAAAGGGGCTGCGAGGAGCTGATGATCCGTTCCAGGTCGCTCTCCATGAGGTCCGTGACGATGTAGATATCGTGGAAGTCCATAACGTTGGGCGGGATCAAAATCACGTCCAGAATCTGCAGAAAACGCCTTATTAATGGACAATTTCAATAACATTTGCGCTAATAACTGCACTGCATCTTACGTTGATGATGTTTTCGTGCACTCCGAGGTGTCGGAGTAGCTTCATCTCGCGCAAGATGCGCTTGGCGTCTGTGAGGTCATCGAACACGTCTGTGATCTTCTTGATGGCCACTTTGCGTCCTCGTAGCTGTAAGAACATAAAAATAATTGCAATGTTTAGATCCAGGATTGCGGATCTATAGAAGAGAGTTTAAGATACCGTGTCTTCGGCGGAGCAGACGATGCCGTAGGAGCCACCACCAACGGGGCGCAAGTTCACGTAGTGAGAGCGGACTTCGAAGACATCTCGCGACACCGTGACGCAGTGGAAGTCCGGGCCGTAGCGGGACGGCTCGATCGACATGGTAGAACACTAAGAAGGAGACTGTTGAGGAACTCTTCAAGATACCTCTAAACGAATAAAGAGATGTTTTATTTAACAAGCGATTGTCAGGTGAAAAAATCCGAGAAAACGGTTGTACAGTATTAGAGCATTTTTATTCGGACTTGATACTACAAAGTTGAAAAAGCTACTTTGTGGAATGGGTTTCAATATATTCGCCTGGAGACTGCATATTGTCCAAATAGGACAACGTCACTGCTCTCGGTGATCGTACCGTGTGCTCCGCGTGTATCTAGGTTGTTGGTCACCACCTCTGGTTGGGGTTCCGCTGCTGCTGAGGTTGCTGCTGTTGCTGCCCCATGCCCTGCCACTGAAGCCCTTGGAAGCTATTCTGCTGCTGTTGCTGTTGCATGCCGCCCTGTGGTTGGCCCATACCCATGTGCATCTGGCTAATGTTCATGCCCGCAGGGCCTCGTGGAGCCATCGGCGAGGGACCACCAGAACCCATCGGGTTGAAGCCGCCCTGCGCACCATAAGCCCCGCCATGGCTCCCCATAGTAGTCGGCGACATGCCCCGGGGCGCATTGTTTGCGCTCAAGTTGGCTGAGATTGGCGAAGGCCGCATGGGTGCCGTGTTGTTGCCAGCAAAGACATCGAACGGGTCGCGTGCTGCTTGAGGTGGAGCGGGGCTCTTCTGCTAAGAATTGCATGATTCGCAAGTAGAGAAATTAGCTATTAGAATATATATGGAACAATCGGAAATGAAAAACCGCACCGGAGGGACTGGCGAAGGAGCTGAAGGAGCTTGTGGGGTCGGCGAAGGCACAGGGTCCGTCATCTGCAACACAATTCACGAGACATCACCTATCAGTTTAAAACCTTCGTTAACACGCGAATAGCTTCACCCACCAGTCCAACTAGGTCATTGTTGAAAGTCTTTTGCGCAGCTTGAGGTTCTTCTCGCTTAGCTGTTGCATTGGTACACAAAGTGACAGTTTAGGACCCCATTCCCATCAAACTTCGCAGACATATTTCTCCTTACTGGGAGATTGAGGGGGCTCTGACGTCTCAATGAGGTCGGGAGCTTCCGCTTGGACTTTGGGCTTCTCGGTACGCTCTGGTGGCCGGGTCGAGCTTTCGCGCTGCACTCTGGAGATCTTGCAAATGACGAGCCCATTGAAGTCCGGCACGGGGTCCGCATCATTCACAACGTCTAGCCACACTAGAATATGCCACCCCACCCTTAGTCTAACAGTTTTCACCTCTCTATTACTGCTCTGCCACGCACCGTAAGTCCCCTCGAATGCCGTCTTGAAGCGGAAGTGAAAATCACCAGGCAACGGGAAGCTCTGCGCACAGTAAGAGGAACAATGTGAGCGATCTCTCCTTCATTTCGAGATTACTAACCATCAAGCGCACCTTTTTGACGTGTTGCAGACGCAGCTGCTCTACACGGGGCAGCGGCACCACGTTCAGGTGGTCGGATGAATCCCCGTCCTCAGGCACGAAGTAGTTTAGCATCCCCTCCATGGTTGCAGCAATAGCAAGCTCGGGCTGTTACGTGCGCCTTCTTGAAAAACTACGGTAACCGGTAAAGAGTTCTGCGCACCTAACACTAGTAAAGTACCGGTATTGACCAAACAGAACTGCCTCTTAAGTTCGCACTGTTAAAACCGTCTCAAATCGGTATGCTCAGTTGACGTTTCTCGACCTGAAGATGAAGCACAACGATGAGGAGACCAAGACCAAGCAGGTGAACACGGATGCATTGCAAGCGGCGATGGATGAGCGCGCGCAGACGCGACAGGAAGGTGAGAGGAAAGACGGAGGAGAGGGCGAAGAAGAGGAGAGAGAAGTGGTGACGCTTTCGAGCTGCGTGGACCTCAGCGACGTGCAGGACGGCGAACTCTACTACGTGGGCACAGCAGGAGTAAAGATCACGGAGCTGGACGGGCTGGAGAACCTGCCGAATCTGCTTAAGCTTCACGTGCGCTCCAATATGCTTCAGTCCATGGCGAGCGTAGCGTCTCTAGTGCAGCTGGAGCACCTGGAACTATACGATAACCAGATCCAGACGCTCGAGGGCGTGCAAAACCTCGTGAACCTCAAGGTGCTAGACCTATCGTTCAACGAGATCCGTGTGATCCCCGATCTGAGTCATCTCACGAAGCTTGAGGAGCTCTATGTGGCCAACAACAAGCTCAAGAAGATCTCGGGCATTGAAAACCTGACGACGTTGAAGAAACTGGATCTGGGAGCCAATAGATTGCGAACGATTGAGGGACTGGATGGTTTAACGGAGCTGAGAGAATTGTGGCTTGGCAAGAACAAGATCACTGCTATCCAAGGACTAGAGAAACTGACCAAACTGAAGATTGTCAGTGTGCAGAGCAACCGAGTGGTGAAGATCACGGGCTTTGAGAACAACGTGGAGTTAGAAGAACTGTATCTCAGTCACAACGGCATTGAGAAGATCGAGAATGTGGAGCACTTGGTAAGACGCTGGGTGGTTACTGATGGTTGAAATATGTTGCTTAGTTGTGTTTTTTTTCGTTGTACAGACAAAGCTGACTACGATGGATCTGGCTGGTAACCGTATCACGAATATTCCGTCGACGCTGGCGCCGCTAGCACAACTGGAGGATCTGTGGCTGAACGACAACCAGATCGCACAATATGCTGACGTGGAGCACCTTGTACCGCTGGCAGGACTACGCACACTCTACCTGGAGCGTAATCCACTCGCTCAAGACTTTGAGTACCGAAAGAAACTAGAGGAGCTTTTACCTGAGCTGGACAAGATTGACGCGACGCCGACGACAAAGGCGAGACAAGGACGCAGATAAACATTAGTCTCGCAGTACAGTTTAAATGCTGATGAGCTGGGAATTATCATGCCAGCGTGGTTGTACTCGAGTCGGGTTCTTTTGTGAGCTTTGCCTTGGCCAAATGCAAATACTTTTGCCACGGCTTCACGTCACCCATGTCGGTAGTGTCTGTGTGGTCTGGCTGTTGCACACCGTGACTGAACGGCTTACCATTGGTGATGTAAATCTTTGCTGGTGGTGGGTGGATACTACAGCTGATAATAATGCAGACCAAGCACATGCCATTGATCACAACCATCCATGAGCCACAATGCAAACATCTCTGTCCTCTGAACTTGCCCTTGTAGATTGGAATGGCCATTACGCCTGCTGTCCCAAGAAATGCAAACACAGTTGGCACTACCCAAGCTGTAGGACGTTCTTGTGTGATAGGGATCGAACGAAGGTGAAGCACCTCGCTGAAGATGTCAGGCGGGTCCTCGCTCTCCGTTATAGTCACCGAGCATTCGACTACGCTACGCCAGAACTCTGCTCCGAAATTCAAGGAACGCTCAATAACCACCAATTCCAGTTTGTATCCACTCAAATACGTCGACAAGTTTCGTGTTGGCATAGGACACTCGATGATAGTTTTATCGTCCAGCGCGTTCCGCCGTGCAAAGCGATACGTTCTTCTTCCTTTGCTCACGCTCAGACGTTGGACGTCATTAAGCGGACACGACAAATTCCACGTCTCGTCAGCTCCTAGACGTGGCACAGGGTTCGTGCAGCACTGTAAGCAGTACTGCTGGTTCATCAACCACGGATCTGTGAACTGAGTCTCGAAGGTATACGCCTTGTGGAATCCTGCGCTCGCATTCAAGTCCTTACAGCCATTGAGGGCGAATCCAGCATAACATTGCTGAAGGAGCGACGTCACAGTCGTAGGAGTGTCCAATGACTGAATCGCACCATAGATTCCGTACGTGGCCTAAGAAAACAAAAACAAAGATAAAAAGTTAAAGCACTATGCCGATTTTATGACCAAGATAATGTTTTTACCCTGATCGAAGACGCAGACAACGATCCAAGAAGCCATGAACCTGCAAACCCCACGATGCAGACCCAGAAGTCTCGCATCACTTGAACTTAAAACTAAAAATATGGGATACAAAAAGGTGAAAAACTGTTCGCCAACAACTCCCATCTAGCGTGGAAATGCACATATATCGCGCATAGTTTTCTATGTATTGGATCGGGTCAAGCGATTTACTGAGGCGAGGGCAGGACAACGTTCGCAAAAACGTCCGACTTGGGCTGCCAATTCATATTTTTCACATCCACCAAAGCTCTCCCTCCCATCAAAATAACAAGACGAAAAATCCCCTCATTCATGTTCCGCCATCGCTCATCTCGCTACACCCCCCGTTTCATACCCTTTGTTCCGGGTCGTTGGCGAGCTTGCGGCTAGCACCATAACGCCTTTGTGATGACTTCTTCACGTCTGAGCCGAGTAATCTAAGCAAGCACTTCACAGCATCACGGACACCGACACACCAGCACTAGCACGCACGCTGCACTAGGTTTCTCTACTACGCCTGCCCAGGCTTCGGCTGGCTGGGAGTCGGTGCTGTTGCTGTCGTGGTCGCCGTGTCCGTTGCTGCTGTCGATAGTGCCGCTGATTGTAAATAGCTTTCCGGGATCAATTCGTCTACAGGCACCGACAGTGGACGTGCTGCAGCTTCAGTACTTGCGTTCCCTAGCCTAGCCACAGTAGTCGTCGATGTCGCTCCAGAAGGCGGCGGTGACGGCTCCTCATCCGATCCATCGACTGGAAGACCCACGTCATTGTCAAATTCCACGAGCATCGCCGAGGGATTCTGCATATTGGCGTTGGGTATCGTCTCTCCTTGAGCAAGCAATCGTAGGTTTTCATCCAATGCAGTCGATGAGCCATTGGCGTCGCTAAACACGGCGCTTTCTCCATTCTGCTGTCGAGCGATAGCAGCTCGCTGCTTGTCGAATTCCTCCATTTTCTTTCGGAAACGCTCCACTTCACGCTGGTGCTTCTCCTCCTCACTTCGGATCGCTGCTTCCAGTGAGGATTCCTGCTCGTTAAACGAAGATCGTGCCATCTTCAAACGGTCCTCGAGCTGGTGCATCTGCTGGACGTACGTTGGATCGGTGATCGACCCCATCGAGGCTCCACGTGCACGCATCTCCAAGAGATTCAGCCACGCTTCCTTGGTTAGCGTTGACTCGCTTGCAGTGTGTGGCAAACCAGGACGTGGCGGCGATCGAACCACGTCATTGCTAGGGAACGATGGCAGCGAAGTTGTACTACTACTACTACTGCTATTCAGTGGAATGCTGCCATCGAGCACCATTAAGGTGGACGATGGATCATTCAGATTCGCAGTATTCGGCGCCTCTTGCGATCCAGGTATCACCAACTCCGGGGGTACAGCAGCCGGCGCAGAAACCGTAGTTCCACTTGTGCCTAACACACTCTGAAGCACCGAAGCCGGCATTCCTGAAGTAGACACACTTGAAGCACTCTGTGTACGTTCTAAACCAGCAGCACCCATCATAAACGCTTGCTGCTGGTACGCTCCATGAGGCACGTGCACGAACGACATCTTGGATACGTTAGGAAACGGCTTGGACGAGAAGGAATGAGGCTCCGGCGCTTCTTCCCACACGTCTTCCTGCACATCCGAGAGGTTGTTGATCTTGCCCTCCGTCACCAAGAAGCGGATCGAGTCGGCGATATCTTCAAGATCCGGCTCCAGGATTCCAACGTCCACAGCCAATTCGCACGCAACTTCATGTGGGCTGTCAGCGAACAAGTTGAACGGGAACTTGATTTCCTTCGACTTGCCGTCGATCATGATGCGCAGATTCAGTAGGATGCTGTGCTCGTTGTCAGGGTCTTTGGCTGCCTTAATATCGTGTCGCTTTACGCGCTTTCGGGCAGTAGCACCTGCATTATTTGATGCTGGCGGCGGTGCAGTTGGCTGGGGCACTTGTGGAGGCGGCTGTGGTGGAGACGGTTGACTGGGTACAGGAGCAACAGCTTCCGATGCAGCAGCAGCCACTGCCGCTGCTACAGCTGCATCGGATGGTGCATGGATACTCGCCCGGCGGACGAGATTAGTCTGAGGCTCCACAACAGGCTCAGGGAGCTGCATTGCCGGCACTTGGGCTTGAGGAGCTTGAGATGGTGTCAAAAGACCTGGAGCTGAGTTAGGAGGCTCAACTTTAGCCACATGTGCAGGCAGTGCTGAAGGTTCTCCAGTGAAAGACTGTGAATGTTCTGGTGTTTCTTTTCCATTGGCCACCGGTGACTCCGCAGGACTTTCAGCATATTCTGGCGTGGTGTCATTCTCCAAATCCAGTCGTTGTCCTCTCCCTCCCATGATGTTTATCCGCGTGTTCTGGATTGCACTCTCACTGCCAGGCAATGTAGCGAGGAATCGATCCACGTGTGCATCCGCATTCTTCTTCCCAGACGACAAAGGCTCATCAGCAGCAACCATCTCGCTGATAACAGGCTGAGACGGCGAGTGAGTCAACGTCGGGGCTGGTTCAGGTGGTGGAGTGGACGTTTGAACCGGAGCTGGAGCTGGCGCCACTGCTTCCGTTGGCACTGGATCAGTCACTGGAGACGGTGGTTGAGTGATACTGTCGCGAGCAGGTGCTCCAGCTGGTGGTACCTGAATTAATCGATGTGTTCCGGCAGTCTTTTCCTCCGCTGGGGCAGCCGCAATGACACTGCCACCACTACCAGGTGCCGACGCACTACCGCTCGCCGAGGACGCTGCAGACATTTCTTCCGGCTCTAACGAGAGCGAAGGGAATTGCTTACGTCGTTCACTAATCACAACAGCAGCGCCGCCTTTGGATCCGCTCTCCATGTTAAACTCCACGGCAAACGACTCCTCCGCCACCTTCTCCAAACGCTGCTGTTCTTCTTTATTTTCCCGCTCCAGTTCGTCTTCATCCAAACACTCCACCATGTCGTTATCATCGTCCTGTGCCTTCAGAAACGGGTGATCCAATAGATACTGAGCCGTCACATCCACGAGACCATTTCCACGTGACAAACACAACTCGATAAAGTCACGTGCAGCCTGGCTAACCACGCGTTGTAGACCTTTCGGTCGAATACCCGCCGTAACCTTCTTGTAGATCTGTGCTGGATTGATACACTCCGAGTAGGGCACCTCCTTGGTCACCATCTCCAGCACACACATTCCAAACGCGTACACGTCCACTTTTTCATCGTAACTCTCATCGTATAGCTCCGGAGCCATGAACTCAGGCGTGCCCAGTACACTCTGAGCCTTGGATCTCTTGTCCACTGCCAATTGGGTCGATAATCCAAGATCTCCGATACGTAGATCGCCTGTATTACCATTCACAAAGATGTTGTCACACTTGAGATCCCGGTGAATCACTGGAGGGTTCTGACTGTGCAGATAGTGCAGGCCTTCAAGGATCTGGATGCACCAGCGCTTGATGATCTTCCACTTAATGAACTGCACGCGTTTGATGTATGACTTGAGTGTCCCCGACGTCATGATCTCCGTGATGAACACGACCTGGTTCTTCTCCTTGGAGAACCACGAGCCGTAGAAGTTGATGATGTTCTTGTGCTCGAGCTTCTGCAGCAGCTGCACCTCCTGGATAATGCGAGTCTTCTCCGTACTGGGCAACAGACCGATGTCGATGGCGTTCCACGCCACGTCAATGCCCTGGTCTGTATCATACGCCTTGTACACTGACTTGTAGGCGCCTGTGCCCAATCGGATGTCAAAGCGGATGTAGCGGCCGCGGGGCGAGTGCTCCATGGGTCGATCGCCCTCCTCCCTCACATATACGTCGCTCTCCTCCATATCTGGTGTCTAAATGGCTAGATTAAGCTAAAAAAGAGCAGTTTCTTCTCTTTCTGGAGCTTCTACGAGGCGTTTGAGACCACAAAAGGCAGAATCTGGATCGCTAGAGCCTTGGTATTCGTTTTCTAGTGCAGTGGGTAGCTGAAGAGGCCGAAAAACGCAACTGCGCGGCCTGAACAGTGGACGGCTAGACCTGAAAGCTCAGTAGCGCTGCTTGTACTGCACAGATGGAGATCGCACCAGCCTCAAAAGAAGCCCCTGTTCGAGACGAACACGGGGAGCTACCTAGCGCTGCTGTGGAGAACCGCGGGGACGCTCGAGACGCTCGAGACGACTCGCTGCCTATGCCGCTTGGGTCTTCGCTCTTCGCTGTGTCCGCGCGCTGTTGGTCTTCGATCGGGCCCTGATTAAACTTGAGATTTGTAAGAACCTTACAAAATACAAGTGTCCATGAGGTTTTGAGGTTTTTGAAAGTGTAGATTGTAGCAATCTTTTTGGAGATGGCTACATGAACGACGTGCAAGCTGACACACGATGGTGCTCACAGACGCTTCCCCTGATGATACTGTGTGTGCTTTGCATAGAATATCTGTACTCGGTCAACGGCTTCTTCTCATCAGAGGCGTGGTTCTCGAAGCCAGCAATGGTCCTCGAAACTGTGAGTCCGAAGTCATAGAAGTCATTGAAGATTGAGCGGGAACGGAAGTGGTGTCGTGTCCGCATGCGAGTTATAGTATTACAACTCGTATCTCTTGTCGTCTGACATTTTATTACGCATTAATGGTGGGTGAGGAGCCTGCTGCTCCTTAATCCTGAAAAAGCACGACAAAAAATAGTTTCCAAGTTCCAGTAAAGGCCGTCGCGAGTGTGCTGTGGTGATCTCATTGTCAGCAAAACTATGTCTTACAGGGTTAGAAGCGCTCCCCTTAGCGCCTGGGAAGGGGCTGAAAACCTCGATACCAATAACAATGAACGTCGAAAGCCTCTTTGTACTCTGAGCTCGGCTTCTTGGCAGCGACTCGAAGACAAGTGGAATGAAATACAAGTGGGTCGTCAAGGTTCATACTCCGTCGAACGTCTCGAAAGCCTGCAGTACTATTGCGAGACCATGTCAACTACCCGTGTTTTCCTGGTTTGTGTTCTCACCCCACTTCCTGCCCTGAGTTGTTTATTACTGTTGGAATGTCTGCCACTGCGACCACCATCTGAAGGGTGGGCTGCCAACTGGATGTTCTGGATTCGAATGGGCTTAATGGTGTTTACGTTGTCACTTGTGGGGGTCTCCGATTTAATCTTGTTTGTTCCAAATCTCGGCTTTACTCTTTCGAAGAGGATCATCGTGTCATTCGGATCCGCAGTCAGCTATGTTGGGGCGTGCGTACTCTTAGCGAAGTACATTGTGGGATTTCCAATTCCGTTCATGTGGCAATTTGGAGGCCTATTGCTTGGGATTTCTCTACCGCTACTGCTTGTGCTCGTCCTTGGTCGAGCTCCTTTCAGAAGTGACTCGCCATTTAGATATCATTTTCAGCGGTATATTCGCTTGTTTTTCGGGTTCGTGACGCTGGCCGGAGTATATCCACTCTACAAAGTAATGTACGACCTTGCACCTGTGCAATTCCGAGGAGGTGCTCTCATTGCGCTACCACTGTGGAAATTCGCTGCGAAGCATTTTATCATGTGGTCTTCACGAGAATTTGAGGATTTCATGCCGGCGATTGTGTCTTTGTCAGTGGATTTATTCAGTGCACTCTTCGTTTCTGTCTGTATTTCTACTTCCGGATCGCTCTATCTCTCCGTATTGTTTATCGCCACAGATGTAGGGCAGACACTGTTGGAATTTCGCGAAGTGCTGGCAAATGCGACCACAGTCGTCGAGATTCTTCGAGCTCAGGAGGGTTCTTTGCAAAATAAAAACACCAACACTCATGATGCGTTGATGACTCCTAACCTTATCACCAGGATCACTACTATAACGAGAAATCCGAGAGCATTTAACGTGCTTACACTTAAAAGAACGCGATTGTGGGCGTGTTTACCCCATCGTATGACCGTCGACCAAGAAAAGCAAATGGATGTACTTGAAGGCTCACGTTTTTACGGTCCAAGAGGGCTCATTTCCTCCAGAAGAAGTAGTCGAACCCGTCACAAGTCACGGCACATATCGCTGTCATTTGGACTCTTAAAGAGCGCACCAATTGTACCAGGTTTCACGAGCAGCACAAACAAAATTATCAAACGAGGAGAAAAGTCGAGACAAGTGGTTCTACAAGGACTTCAACTTCTTTTCCACTGCGAATACTTGGCTCTGGTTGAATACATCGAGTGTATCGTTCCGTTGGTATTCGCCACGTACAAGTTGGTGCTCCATCAGCTTCCAAATGCCGTTTACTATCCCGCTTCAAGCAACTGGGGTGTGGCAGCTATCGTAAATATTCTGGTATATGCAGCTTTAGAAGTTGGGTCACTGCTGTTACTACATTATTTCTTACAGAAAAAGTTTATTTTTTCGCCGCTGTACCAACTCGCTTTTGCACTCGAAACACAGATGTATCTTGTTCAAGCGCTTTTGTTTCTCGAGATTGTGATTCTACTCCAGTACGAGTTGGAGCATCTTGGTAAGCGGTTTTTTTTTTGTCCTGTGCCGTGTCGAGAATCGAGAAAAGTAACTAACATTATTCTGCTACCACAATTCATAGGTGCTGACTTTACCTTCCGGTTTGAGTGGCTGCATACTTCTGTCTAGTTGGTGTTGTGAATACTTAAGTGCGGTTATACCGCTGTTGGTACTTTTTCGTTGAAGTAATACATTCAAGAACATACTTACGTGTTGGTTCGCCGGTTGTTTATTTATTCAAAAGTGGCATGTACTCCTCCTCAAGCAACTTTCCCGACACGGTCTTGCCTTGTAGCATCATCAATAACTGCTCGCTGAATGCCAAACCTCGTTGCTTCTCTCGTCTGCACAATAAAAACGTAAAGCGTACATAGTTTCGTTAGCTACCACAATATTTGACCTACTTAGTACGAGGACGTACCTGATGTCAGCTTCCAACATCTCAAAATCGTTTGTCTTCTTCAAAGGTGAACCAGCTTGAGTTTCTTCGGCCAGCTCTGGAAGAGCAAGAGGTTTAACTTCATGTTTACGCACGTTCTCGGGAACATGAGCCAACGGGGGATCCAGCAGATTGCGTACGTCCACGTTGCCATACCAAGTTCGCCAGTTCGACTGCTTTGTAAGTGATTCCAAGAACGTATTCTTCTTGGTACTCGAAGCTCTTCTCTTGGGTGAAGCAATGCCGACCCCGCGTGGGGAGGCCAGTTGTCGAGACAAATCGCCATCCTCATCATCACAATTGTGTTCGGCATCATCATCCGAGAAATGGACTTGTTTCACAAAGTTCGCACAGCCCTTGGACAAAAACCAAGAACTCAGTGGCGTAGTTGACAGCGTTCGTGGTGTCTGGGATGCAACTTGAGTTGGAGGCACCATGCCGAACGACGCACCCCATGCATTCTGTAGACGCGGTGGCAGAGTTACCGTTGGCTGTGCAGGGCGGTCGCGCCTGATATTAATCTCTCTCGACTTTCGGTCACCTCTCATCATCTTCTCCACATACGCGTGGCTATCCATGATGATACCCGCCTTTTTAGTCTGAGCAGGAATTTCAGAAGATACCTTGGTCGTAGAATCAAATCCAACTTCCTTCTTCGGAGCAGTAGTAGAGGTAACCTTGACTGTTGATTCGGCTTGTTTGGCTGCTGGCAGATCAAATTTCGATGTGGTTACTCGGATCTCTAGTGAGGGCGCCTTGCATTCAGGAGCTAATGAGCTCTTCGACGCTTCACTCGCCGATTTTGTTACGCGGAGGTGCTGATTTACGGACTCTCGCACGCCAGCAGCCAGTGTCGTTGGTTGAAGTGATGTCGAGGGTGCGCTAACGGAAGGTGCTGTCATAACTGCATCAGTGTTTGTCGGCAGGTCAGCTTCCTTGCTACTCTTCGGAGACTCAGTCGGCTCTGTTCTTTGGGCAATACATGTTGTGTCTTGTATCTGTGGCTTTGACTGTATGTCTTGAGTAGTCTGCGGCTCGACATCACTGGGCTTAGCTTTGGCTTGAACCAGTTCAACTTTACTTGCAACTGCATTCCGTTTTGCAGGTCGGTGGATTGGATCAATGACGGAGTCGACGGATGTCTGGCCAATAGATCGCCGTCGCTTAAGGCCGCCACTGGGTAGAAACGCAGGGTCAGAGGCTTTTTCTTTCGCCAACGGTGACGGTGCAGACTTCATCGTTGTTACAAGCGGTGGAGAAGCACTTGAAGCCAAAGTGGAGGCTGACTCGGAGATTACACTTGTAGTGTCAGTTGCAGCGATCGAAGCCGTATGTGGTTTCTCTGAAGATGCAGTCGGAGCAATAATTGATTCCGGTGACGGCTTGGTATCAAAACTGTTCGCAGGGTCACTTGTAGCAGTATCCGGCGTTGAATTTTGATCTGCTGTCGCAATTTTGAACGGAGTAGTCGTCACCTCATCTTTCCTTTGCGATATCACGGTTTCCGGCTTCGTGGCTTTAGGAGCCTCAGGCATTACCGAAGTTTTGGTGACACCGACGACCTCGGGCTGCTTGGTTTCTGTCTTCGCTTCAGGCTTCTTCACACCAGCATAACCTTCTTTTGGTGGTAAAACCGGAGACGCAGTCGCACTATCCTTTGCCTTTAACTTCTTAATCGTTTTACGCGGACTCGCCGTCGCTGGGGCTGCAGCAGTCGTAACATTCCCCATCTTGTTGGCATGCTGGACCTGTGCACTTTTAGTGGGGCTTGCTGCTAATAACGATGTCTTCGTTTTCCTATCTGCAGTAGGCGACGCTCCAGCATGACCCAATACTGCGACTGCCTTCTTCTTCTTCGCAACCGGCGACTTTGTGCTCTCTATCACCTGTCCCTCTTTCGTAGAGGCTGTTACGGTTGTACTAGCCACGGTATCTCCACTATTCTCTGCTACTGCGCTCAATTTTCTCTTCTTCTTCTTCTTCTTGCCGCCCGTCAGTGACACCACATGCGGCTTCACCACAGCAGCAGGAGGCGTCAGTACCGCCACTTTCGTCTTAGGTGACGCAGATGCAGCCGTTGGGGACTTTTTCGCAGCCTTTAGAGCTTCAGCGGCTGCCTGTTTCTTCAACCGTTTACGCTTCGACTTGGTCATGGGTTGCTCTTGAGACGTAGATGCTGGTTCTGGTGCAGCAGAGCCGACCTGAACGTTCGGATGGCTGGCTGTCACTTTCTTCGCTCCGATCGCTGCCTTCTTGTGGGTAGCAGCGGCCTGGACCGAAGTTGCTGCTGCTTTCTTCTTGGCCGCCTTGCTCTTCTTGCCTTTGCCTCGCCCGCCTCCGCGTCCGCCTTCCATGACTGCTTACACTAGGCTTCCGATCTACTACTGAACGAGCTTTATTTGGTGTGAGAAACACGAATGATTCACTTAGGTACGATGGTAGCACTTCAACCTTCACGACCCCGTCAGACGTTTTCGGGTGTCCGAAATCGATATCGGGTGGCAACGTCTACATGAAGTACCAGCTCGAACTGAGTTGATCTTTGCCGTTCTGTGCTTGCAATGGGGTTGCTAAACAATAGAGGACGATACACCTCACTTCGCTGTGCAGGATATCTAGCTCCGCTTTGCCTTAGGTCAACGTGATTAATGCGATTACGCGGCAACGGGCGACTTCTACGGCGCTGGACAGCAACACATTCCTGTAGATACTGCGCCGAATCCGAAACACGCACGGTGCTGTAAATTGGGGGCGCCTAATTGGGCATGCAACATCAACACCTAATTTCGACTACAGTAAGGACTCGGGTGAGAGTGCTGAGACCAAGCACTTCGCTACAGGATCGGACCAAACAGATCGGATTTAATCTCGCTGAGCTGCCAAACATTTCAAGCTTGAATCAAAGCAGAGATGCACGGATTATGAGCCAGCACGAGGTCAACGCCACGTCACGATTGAGACGAAAGTCATTCGCAAGCAATCATGTCTGGTCGGCGCGATTGAGAATTTGTACCTCGTGGATTGATGTTTTTCTCTACAACACTTGAAACTACGAACATGCAGGCTGGAAATGTTCGACGCAAGTGACGAATGCCACTGCCCCGCGAGCTCTATTGTGGCGGTCAAACATAGCAATCCGCGTTGTGTTGTGTGCATTTACATGTGACATGCGAACCTAACTGACAAAACTGTTCAATTGACTCATATCGTCATATACGAGAAATAACATTTCGAGTCTAAGTGTCAAGTGAACAAGTTTTCAGTAGCTGTTCCAATTGATTCAAGTTTCACAGACACCTCGGTCCATAAAAAATCAAGGGTTGTTGGTTCGTAGGTTCTTTTTCCAGCGTACGTGGTAAACGATCTCCACTTGGCAATTTAGCTCCCCACCAGCACCAGCTTCCCTCCGTCCATTTGTCCACGATGATGAATGGCGACGTCCTCCAGCCCACCAACTCATTGGTGGGACCAATGCTCACCGATTTGTACCAGATCACTATGTACGTCTTTCGTTCTACCATCTACCTTACTTTGCCATCTAACATGCTCTACCAGGGTCTATGCGTACTGGAAGGTGGGGCGCCACAACGACCACGCCGTGTTCGACCTGTTCTTCCGCAAGAACCCATTCAACGGCGAGTACACAGTGTTTGCAGGGCTAGAGGAAGCGCTTGCAATGGTCAACACGTTCAAGTTCACGGCAGCCGACATCGCGTATCTTCGTGAAGTGCTGCCGCATGCCGAAGAAGGCTTCTTCACTTGGCTCTCGACGCTCGACTGCTCTAGTGTTAAGGTGTATGCTATCAAGGAAGGCTCCATCGTCTTCCCACGCATCCCTCTCGTGCGTATCGAGGGTAGTTTGGGCATCGGCCAGCTGCTAGAGACGCCACTACTCAACCTGCTCAACTTCGCCAGCCTCATCACTACCAACGCCACGCGCTTCAAGAAGGCAGCGGGTCCTGACAAGAAACTACTGGAATTCGGTCTGCGTCGTGCTCAGGGACCGGATGGCGGTCTCAGTGCCTCGAGATACTCGTACATGGCTGGCTTTTCGGGCACCAGCAACGTGCTGGCTGGCAAGCTGCACAAGATCCCCATCATGGGCACACATGCACATGCGTTTGTGCAAGCGCATACGACACTGGATGACGTGAAGGTCACTATGCTGGACGGCAAGAACTTCCTAGACATCGTGCTCAAATACCGCACCGAGCTCGGCCACACACATACCAACGATGTAAGGCTTGGATGAGGAGGATATTATGTCTTTGTTATGATATCTAACGCATCTCTGTATGGTCCTAATACCACTTCTTTTATGCAGGGTGAGCTTGCGGCTTTCATCTCGTACGCTATCGCATTCCCCGACGCTTTCCTGGCTCTAGTGGACACTTACGACACGCTTTCGGTACGTTCCAACCTCACTGCCTCTAGCAATGGATACACTCTGCTGACATTTTATGCTTTACCATTTACAGTCTGGTGTACCAAACTTCGTCTGTGTCGCTCTAGCCTTGCACGAGTTGGGCCACAAGCCGGTCGGTATTCGTCTTGACAGTGGCGATCTGTCGTACCTTTCAAAGCGCTGTCGTGCAGCCTTCGTAGCCGCTGGTGAATCTTACGGCATCGAGTACTTTAAAGAGCTGAACATCACGGCCAGTAACGATATCAACGAGCCGGTGCTGAACTCCCTGAACGAGCAACGTCACGAGATCAACTCGTACGGCATCGGTACCCATCTTGTGACTTGTCAAGCGCAGCCTGCACTCGGCATGGTGTACAAGCTCGTGGAGATCAACGGAGAGCCACGTATTAAGCTGTCTCAGGACGTGAGCAAGGTGACGATCCCTGGACGTAAAGAAGCCTTCCGTCTGATTGGTGCCAATGGCAAACCGCTGCTTGATCTGATGACCGGATGCAACGAGAAGGCCCCGGAGGTGGGCAAGAAGATGCTGTGTCGGAATGCGTTCGATGAGCTGCGTCGCGCGTACGTCACGCCATCTCAGGTCATCCCGCTGCACAGTCTGTACTGGGACGGTCCCAACGGCGGCCTTGTGGGCGAGCTGCCGACTCTGGAGGAGCGACGTCAGTACGTGACGGAGCAGTTCGAACTGATCCGTGAAGACGTGGTTAGATCGCTCAACCCGACACCGTACAAGGTGTCGGTGTCCAACGAGCTGTACGAGTTTATCCACGACCTGTGGATGAAGGAGTACCCCGTGAAAGAGCTGGATTAAGTGTCTGCTCCAACTGCTGCTCGCCACGGCAACAGGGATAGGAAGTGGCAATCATCATGTCAATTGTTTTAAACTGTTCTACTTGTTCTTTTTGGCTTTGAGTTGCTGACGGTATTCAGCTCTTTTGACGATCACCACCATATCCACCATGTTCTTCATGCTCAGCAGCTACAGAACACAAAAAGTTAGACAAGGATGTAGTTACTTCCCCAATTTGCCATCATGGATACCCACCAGTTGGAAGAAACCTGCAGCTAAGAGCGGCCCCGCGTAGAAGATGCCCATGAAGACGCCCTGCTCGTCGAAATATCGCTGCGTGGTGAATAGGCGCCAGTTCTCCCTTGCCCACTTGTTGAGTGTCTCGGTGCTCACCACCATCAAGATGATGAGCACGAAGAGCGCGAACTGAGTGTACAGCCGCTTGCGCGTGAGCCAGAGTGTAGCCAAGAGCACCACGTGGAAGATGAGAAGCCCCACGATAAGTGGTTCCGTCCAGTCCACGGCTTCGTACCATTTAACCATGAGATGGCTGTACTTGGAGCGCAGGTCGCGCTCCATCTGCGCCGCTATGTGCTCCATTTTCGTCGAATGAATCAAAGAGCACAAATATCGAAGAGATGGCTACATTTGGAGAAAATGGCTACACTACAAACGCTGCAAGATTCGCTACGGGTGCGAGTCTTGCAACCATTGGAAGCGGAATGTGAAGTCGGCTCCTGCATAAGCAGTTAGCAGGCTGCGTAGAGATGGATGCATCACTGCAAATGAGACGTACCCATGTGCTCGAGTTGATACTGCAGCAGGGCCAAAATCGTAAGAAGCAGCTTTGCCTGCACCGTAATGATTTGAGTCTCGAGCACAAACGCAAGCTGGTACATTGGTGAAAAGGAAAACTTGCGTTGCAGGACAAGATTGAGTAGAATAAGCGACCCAATTTCCAATATTGCGGAAACCAACACGTTCACAATTGCTTGTGTTCCCCAATTGCCGGCTCCTCCCGGAAAATAGTCGATATTTGGTAGCTGCTCGAGCACCGACTTGTAGATCACGTATATAAGTGGAACAATACACTCGACGTACTCGACCAGAGCGAGGTATTCACAGTGGAACAGAAGTTGCAGACCTTGGACAATCAGCTGCTTAGACTTTTCCACATCTTCACGGTTAATTTCACTGCTATCGGTAACTAGCTTTGAGTCGGTATCGCTAGATTCTGGTGCGATCGCCACACTCGAAACTCGTATTTTGTGTTGATTTGCCACTATGGTTGCTCTTGTAGGTGCATTAAATGTGTAGACGCCGGAGTTCTCAAGATCTCTTAGAGTATTCGCTTGATCTTGCGTAATAGGATGAGGCAAACAAGCCCTCAGCCGCGTACTAGACAGAGATCTGATGTTAAAGGAGCTAGGATTCCGCGTTACAGCTAACATTGTCGTCAACAAGTTGTCCTTCTGGACATTGATACTTCTTTCTGCTTTAACTTTGAGGTATGCCCTTGACTGCCGCCGCTCTTGATGAAGATTGACCACTACATTCGCGTTCGCTTGCACCTCTCTGAATTCCAGCATGGATTGTGCGAGGTCTGCCATAATAAACGCCGCAGTGAGATACAGTGAATCCGATGTAGAAACGCACACCGTAACGAAGAGCGAGCTAACAAAATCCGCCGACAAAGCCACCGTTTCGGGGATAAAATCTTCCAGTTCTCGTGAAGCACGGATAATGAGATGTTTCGCTGCAAATTTCCACATTGGCAAGATGACTATTGCACATCCTTGATATTTCTCTGGTAATTGGTCATAAAGAACTTTGTAGAAAGGGAAACCTGCGACCAACATGATGTATACCATGGTAAACTGATAGAATCGCTGTATATGAGGACGGTGAGGCGAGCTATTCGCGTAAGGCTCCTTGCCTAACACGAGTCGGATCACTAACGGGATGAAAATGGACATGCTACTTCCTCCGATTTGGACAACGAAAGGAACAGGAAACCCAATAGTACTCGCTAAAATAACGCATATCCCCATCAAGGCTACACTTGCACCGATGGATGCGATCAACACTTTCTTAAACGTGACGGCCAGACTTGGGACAAATAGCTTGAGTTGTGCAACAGCCGCAAAGTTTATTGTAAGTCCCATCATATTGAAGCGGATCCAGAACAACCAGTTAGCTTGCCACCCTTCCGACGGAGAACTCAACGGGATACACTCCAACAAGACCGCTAAGCACAGTGCTGGTAGTGGTGTAAGAATGCAAATGAGGATGACTCGAGTTCTTGACGTTGTCTTGCAGTAGTAATGAAGACTTTCGACGCGTTCGATCGAGTACGAACCTTGACGGCCCACTTGAATCCGATTCCAGCGTTCCTCGAGGTCCAGCATTGATTTCACTGGGGCCACTCGCGCTTTGAAGCAATTGCGTGTCATCACTTTCCTGAAAACTATGTATGAGCCAGTTACAAGAATAACAGGGTAATACTGGAGTAAGTTTAGTAACATAACAGATCTCGATAGAAATGCATAAGCATTAATTTACGAGAATTACAATTACTGATGCTGGTGGGAGCAACTGATTTGAGTTTTTGAGTTTTGCAGTCACATTTCTGGAATCCAGCCTTAGAAATACCGATAGGAGAGACCACCACAGCCTAAACATACCCAAATGCTTAAGTTGATACAGCTTTTTACCGACTTCTTTGGACCGGATTTCCAACGGGATGTGAACAGGTTCACGTGTTGGTGACAGTATCAAGCCATGTCCGCGTTGACATCGGCGACACTGGTTGTAGAGCCCTGAAATATAAGCGTACGTACTCTCGCCCTAATTGAAGATGCCCTCGTATCTGTCATTTTGGCGATCATTACAATCATTGTTTTGGCCTATGGAGAAATTTCGTGATACTCGAAATTAATGCTCAATGACATGGTCGAGGAAGCGAAGGACGAGACGCTGTTACAAGCTCAGCGACGTGCATTGATCGATCAGACTTTTGCTGCTACATTTGCCTGTATGAGAACAGAATAAAACTGAGCAAACAAAGTATAAGATATATTGTAGCATTTAGGTAAATACTTACGGACACTTTCGAGACAATTCACGAGCCTGGAAACCAGCTTTACTTAGTTTCGTCCAAAGCCATCGGGAATAACAGCTCGCGATCTTCCAGCAGCAGCAGCACACGGCTAGATTCGCAGCGCAGCCGACAAAAAGATTTCTAAACGCAGGTGCAGACATGCTAACAACCCATCATCCAGCACCAGCAAATTGGCTTCCTTTTTTTTTTTTTAGCAATCTGATGCACTAATGTCGTCTTGCCTGTGACACTCAATGCGCTCAATAGCAGCGAGTGATGGGGGCTGACATAGTGTAACCTGCCCTATCCGCCGAAGCGATCGCAGTTGGTCGAAACACCATAGCCACTGACTCTCGAAATCAACGAGCATCAGCCTCTACTTGCTGATACTTACGCTTGATGTTGGGGTGCTATTTATTATTGAGTAATTTTTCCTTATGAGAAACGTGTTTTTTCCCTAAGAATTGATCGCAAATGAAACAGATTACTTTGATGGAGAAATGGAGTCGTATTATTTGGTCATTGTAAAAAAGATAGGAATAAAACATCTTACAGACAGAGTAGCAGCAAGAATCGAGAGTAGTGACCCTATTTAAATAATAGAAGCTACTGGAGAACTATTGATTTGAGTCTTGCAGCCACTGGAAGTGAAATGTGAAGTCGGCTCCTGCATAAATAAACAGCAAGATGCTTAGCAATGCGAGAGATCATCACAGCCTATACTTACCCAAGTGCTCAAGCTGATACTGCAGCAGCACCAAACTTGTAAGGAACAGTTTTGCCTGCACCGTAATGATTTGAGTCTCGAGCACAAACGCAAGCTGGTACATTGGTGAAAAGGAAAACTTGCGTTGCAGGACAAGATT